CTTTAGAACTGAAAGGAGCACGAGGGCTGCATATCAAACTTATGAGATTTGGGCAAAGCCATAGTCAGAAGCTCCCCAGCATTTATTAGGAAATAAGAAAGATTGAAAAGAAACAAATGAAGCATTTGACTCAAGCAGCCATAAAAAAAGGATTATAAAACAAAGTCAAAGAAAACCGCAGGAAGAAATGAATACAAATAAAAACCAAAATAAGTAAAATAGAAAAGAAAAAATAAACCTCATCCATAAAATACAAAAAACCTGTTCAAGGGGAGAAAGAGGAGAGCACAAATAAACACATTAGGAATGAGCTTGGGACATAACTGTTGAAGCACAAGAGATAAAACAAATTTAATGAGAATATTGTGTAGAACTTTATACTAATACATTTGAAAGTCTTGATAAAGTGTATTATATTCTTAGAAGACATAAATTGCCAAGTTTGAGTCATGATGATAAAGAAAATCCAAACAAGTAGATAATATGGAAGTAAATAATAAGAGAGTGAAATGTCTACAACTGAAAAGAAGACACCAAGCCCAGGGAATTTTACAGGCAAATCTTATCAAATCATCGAGAAATGGATAACCTCAAACACTTAAAAATGGATTGAGATAAAGAAATAAAAAGGACAGTTTTTATCATTTTATTCCATAATTCTAATGCCCAAACTAAGTAAATATATGCACATCCATCTAGAAAAATCTGGCAGACATATTAAAATTTATGAGTTCTTTATGTTGGTAGGATGCAAAATCAACTTACAAAAATCAGTAGTAGCTTTCTCAAAATGGCAATAACTAACTAGAAAATATAAGAGAAAACATGAGTGAAAAACTGATCCTACTTTTGAAGTGTAAAGGACTATAATAATAGAAGTTATTACTCTACAGTGTACATAAGATCTTCTTTGTATGGATTGCCTGAGCCCACAGGTTTGTGACCCACCTGGGCAACTTGGTGAGACCTCATCTCTACAATAAATCAAAAAATCAGCCGGGCGTGGTAGCGCATGCCTTTAATTCCGGCTGCTTGGAAGGCTGAGGTGGAAGGATCACCGGAGCCCAGTAGGTGGAGGCTGCAGTGGCCGGGAGTGGCCACTGCACTCCAGTCTGAGTGACAGAGTCAGACTCCAACTCAAAAAAAAAAAAAAGACCTTCTTTGTAGATAAGCAAAAGAAGCACAGAGAGGTTAAGCAGTTTGTCCAAGATCACCAGCTATGGAATGTGGTGGAATCAGAATTTGGACTCTGTTGGTCTGGATCCAAAACACCTACTTGTAACCTCTATAACATAATGCCTCACATAAATGCCCAGAAATAATTTCCACAAGACATGTACAAGACTTTTATGAAAAAAGTCAGTAACTTCAGTGAATATTTTAAAAGAACACTTGATAAATGGAGATACAAACCATGTGTTTGAATTAGAAGACTCCAAACCATAAAGATGCTGTATTAGTCAGGATAAGATAAGCTTTGTTGCTGTAACAAATGAAGCCTCACTCCTACCCACAACCAGGTTACAAACGAAAGTTAACTTCTTATTTGTGCAAGGACGCTGGTGATTAAGGCAGTGTTCCTCTATCCTGTAGTATGCATCTGGAACACGCGGTCTCTAGACTTGCCATAACAAGGGAAGAGAGGGCTTGAGAATCTCAGGAAGTTTTGAAAGGGCTAAGTCTGTCAGTGACTTATGTGTTGACAGCACACATTTCATTGTTCAGAATCCAATTACATGGTCCTTTCAGCCCAGATGCAAGAAAGGCTTAGACACGTAGTCTACAATGTGAGTTCACTGCCAATACATATTTATTAAATAAAAAAAAATTAAAACCTTCCCTCAACTTAGCCTACAAATTCAAAACAAAGCCACCCAAAATTCCACTAGGGTTTTACATGGAATTTAAAATTAACTGAAAATCAATTCCAAAATCATCTGAAAAGAAAATTGTGAAAGAACAGTCAGGAAATTTGAAAATAAAAAAACTGTTCAGGCTGAGCATGGTGGCACACACCTGTAATCCCAACACTTTTGGAGGCAGAGGTGAGAGGATTGCCCGAGCTCAGGAGTTCAAGACCAACCTGGGCAGCTTGGCACAACTTCATCTCTACAATAAATCAAAAAATTAGCTGGGCATAATCATGGTGAGTACTTGTAGTTCCAGCTACTTGGAAGACTGAGGCAGAAGGATCGCTTGAGCCCAGCAGGTCAAGGCTGTGGTGGCTGTGAGTATGCCACTGCATTCCAGGCTGGGCAAGAGTGAGACTCCCACCATATACAAAAATAAATTTCATACATATCAAAAAAACAAAGGTTTTTAAAAACTTATAAAGATACTGTAATAATATACAGAAAATATGCAGAGTATATACAAACTAATAAAAAGAAAAGGACAAATATCACCCTAGAAAAATGGTCAAAGCACATGAACAGTCTACAGACGGAGAAATACAAATGTCCATGACATGAAGAGATGCTGAATTTCACCAGTAATTGGAAAAATGCAAACCCAAACAAAAAAAGAGTTATTTTTCACATCCAAGATTAGCAATAATGAACATGAAAGATGTGAAAAAATGAGGTGTATCATTCATCAATAATAGGATTGTAAACTGGTAGAGCCTGCATTGCAGCCATTTAGGAGATCTATTAAAAATGTTAAATTCATAAAACATTGGCCCAGCAATTCCTCTTCTAAGAATCCATTTTATAGAAACACACTTGTACACAATGATATATGTGCAAAGATCTTCATTATGGCACTGTTTGTGGCAACAAACAGCTATAAACAGCCAAAGTGCCCATCAATAAAAATTAGTTAAAAACATTATGGAACATTTATACTGTGAAGTGCCAAATAACCATTAAAAAAGATAGATCTGTATGTATACTGACTTGATGAGATCTCCAAGAAGTTGCATTAGGTGTAAATGCTTGCCTCACAACAATGTATAGAGTAATTTTGTTTATGAGTTTATTATGCTATGTATGTATATATATATATGTATGTATATATAATATAATAGTTAATTAACAGTGATGGCCTCTGGGACAGGAAGTGTGGAATGGAAAATGAAAAACTTCCACATTTTGCTCTATAGATTTTGATAATGCTTATTTGTCTTCAGTAATAATGTATCTATTCATAGGTGCATAGGGACGTAAGTATGTGTGAAGAAAGAACTCTACCCAGGTACTCAGTAAACCATTTCTCCATATTTACTGGAAACTTCCTGAGATACATGGTTGGAATTAGTTTTTATCAAGCACATATCATATCCTTTGCCCTTCCACATACACTCACTTCATCTGCACTACAACTATATTAAAAGGGAGTTACTTATATCTAACAGATGCAATAAGAAGGGAACAGACTTCACCAAGGCACCAAGACTTCCCACTATACTTTGGCCAGGTGAATATTAGAAATCCAATCAGTACACCCAGGATTAGGGACAAGTAAGGGAAGAGTGACAGTTGACTTTCTTCATGAGATGTTCCTGGCTTTCCGCTAGAGTGATCTTGGGCCAAGTTTTCAGCTCTGCTTGTTTTTCTTCTGCCTCCAGTTGAGCTCTGCATCTCTAGCATCATTGGCTGGTTCCTACAACCTTGGTACATTTTCTTTCCAAACCATCCTACAGAGCCTCTCTCCTCTCCCACATGAATTTCTGAGTCCCTTTGCAGTCAGATTCAGTGGATCTTCAGTGCCCCCTTTGAAGGAAAGACAAATAAGAGACTGCCAGCTTTATATGACCTCAAACTGACACAGCCCAGCCAGGATCATATCATGCAAATAGAAACCACTGCATTTGGAGGAGATAGAAGTTGAAAAAATTTCATTGTTGCTAAACAGACCTGAATTTGAATGCCAACTTTGCTACTTACTCATAGTATGATGTGCTTTATTTCTTGGCGCCGTATTTTGCTTGTGTATAAAGCAGATATAATATTACCTTTTCTTTATGGTTAGAAAAAAATTAAGTATTCCATGGGTACTACATGTTCAACAGATAGAAATACCACCATAACTGCCACTGTTATAATTACTTCACTAAGTACATAATAATTCCTGTGTTTACAGCCAAGTGATCATGTGACCTCATAGCATCCTAGTGAATTGAGGTAGGATAGAAGTGTCTAACCTCTTTTACATATGAGGAAACCAGGGATCAAATAAGTTCAATGACTCGCCCAATTTCACATAGGCCACAGAGAGCAAAAACAATGTTTGTACAGGTCTCTTCTGTGCAACCCATTCTCTTGCTTGTCTTATATATTTATGTGCACCCTACCCCAGTGCCTATTACGGGACCACGAAAAGATAGGAGCTCAAAGAATTCCAGCTTTGGAATGATTTTTCAGGGATTGAAACCTCTGCTCTCCTAACCCTTATCTTCTTCTACCCTCTGCAACTCATGAGATCCTTTTTCCACTGTGAACATTCCCAAATTGCAAATATTAGTTCCATATCCCATTTAGATGCCTGTTTAGTCCATAGAGGAGCTCATCCCTGCCTCAAAGACATGTCATAGGCCTTCCTGTCTATGATGGGTGTCTAGAATGGGTGATTAGAGACCAACAGAGGCTACTAACATTGCTAATTGAATAGAAACCTTATGTTGTCCATGGTCCAGATACACTGAGAATAAATTCTAGTTTAAGAAACTAAGCTGATAATTTTCCTTGAATTCGTCACGTATTTAAAAAATGTGTGTGTTTGTGGAAACATTTTTAAAATTTGCTTTGTGTGGATGTGCACGCTGGTATCTTCTTGACTCTTCCAAAATGTACCAATGACATTATTTGAATTCACCAATTTACAGGATTAATCTGCTTGTCTCCAGACATCTATGCCCTAGATAGATTTTAGCCAGAATAGCTATCTCTATTCCTAAACTCTGACCTGTTTTGCAGACAAAGGAGGCCTTGGTTTTAGGTCACCCCCAATGAGGGCATCCAGAACATAGAGCTAACATTTGTCTCTGTTTTCTCATGCAGTTGTGTGGAGGAGTACAAGCTGGCACCTGATGGAAAATCTTGCCTGATGCTCTCAGATGTCTGTGAAGGCCCCAAGTGCCTTAAACCTGACTCCAAATTCAACGACACCCTCTTTGGAGAGATGCTACATGGTTATAACAACCGGACACAGCATGTGAACCAAGGCCAAGTCTTCCAGATGACCTTTAGGTATGGGGCAGACATTTGTACATTGCTGGTCTGAGTCACTGACCCACAATCTGGGCAGGGCAAGAAAGCCACAGGCATAATGGAATAGTTATACTGGCCAGCATCTCCTTAAGCTCACAGACACCTACCCATGGAGTGTAAAAAGTCAGCAAAATTTATTCCATGAGGTTTCTATTCCATGTATCTAGCTAATATTTGTCCCATATTTCCATTTTTCTAACTCTATTCACATGTTTTAAATTCAGTCTTAAATCATCTTATAGGTACAGTTAATGGTATTTTTAAATTTTTAATTAATCTTTCTGTCTACTGAAAAATAAATATCCTGTGTATGCTATTCAGGCAGTTCAAAAATAATGAAATCTAATGTAGTAGAAAATAAAAATCCCATCACCCAGAAATATATGAATTAACAATTTCCTGAACACTCTTAAAACATCTCCCTTTCTCTGTTTCTTCTTATCTATTTATCAGTCTATATACAAACACATACAACAAAAAAGAAACCAAATCTTAGTAAAGTTGTTTAAAAATTGTTTTTTGCCCATCAGTATGCTAAAGGCTTCTTTCCCTGTTAATAAATATGGAGGTACATGAGAAATTAAAAGATGAGAGGGAGGCTGGTCATGGTGGCTCATGCCTATAATCCTAGCACTTTGGGAGGCTGAAGTGAGAGGATTACCTGAACCCACAGGTTCGAGACTAGCCTGGGCAACTTGGAGACCTCATCTCTACAATAAATAAAAAAAATTAGCTGGGCATGGTGGTGCATGAGTGTAGTCCCAGTTACTTGAAAGGCTAAGGTAGAAGGATCGCCTCAGTGGCCATGAGCGTGCCACTGCACTCCAGCCTGGACAATAGAGTGACACTCTGACTCAAAAAAACAAAAAAAAAGAAAGGGACATTCATCAAATAAGAAAGGATAGTGTAGGGACTATGTTGACCATATTATGTGAGATTAGACATGCAGGCTAGTGGTAAAAGGTTTCTTAGGTAGTTGAAGAAGTTGGAGCTGTTCTGCCTGAAGAAAAGAAACTTTGGGTGGAATTTATTCATGCCTCTGAAGAACCATGATAGTAGAGTGAGGAGATTTGTTCCATGTGTGGGAAAGGATTCTCTAAAAATAAACAAACTGTACTTTTAGACAGTTTTGTATAAAAAAGGAATAAGCATGGTTCTCCTTATCATTTGAGGTCATATTAATTAAAGTCATAACTAGTAAGAAATCACCTTCGTAGTCATTGTTATCCCATTCCATCATCTTATTAATAGTACAAGAGTGGTAATAATGGTTGCCATTTATTAATGTTTATGCTATGTCTTTACTAATACTACTACTAGCAACAGTAATAATGGCCACTAACATTAATTTACCATATGCCAAGGGGTATTCTAAGCATTGACCCTCTATTATGTAATCCTCACCATGGCTCTGTGAGGTAGGGGCTATTATTATCTCCTTTATACAGAAGAGTAACAGAAATCTAAAGTAACTTTCCAAAGACCCCCTTCTAAAAATGAGAGAGCCAGGATAATGCCATTTTAGCTTTATTATTAGATCCTTTGAGGCACCATGATCTCCATTTTGCAATTGAGAAGTCAAACAAAAGAGACCGAGTGACCTTCTCAAGGTCATCATCTATTTAGAGGTAGAGTCAAGAATCAAGTCTGGCAGACACTACAGCTTTGCCCTTGTCTTTCAATTCAACAAACTCCCTCACTTACCATTTTAGAGAATGAAAATGAAGATGTGACTTACTTAAAGTCTTTCATTCTTGTGGTCATCAAATGCTCTTTGAGCACCTCCTGTGTCCCAGGTACCATGCTGGTTATTGGGGATAAAATAAAAAATGAGATAAAAATAGCCACCAGACTCTCTGACACTTAGGTATAGTTGGGGAGCAGATCCGTGACTCAGATGCTAAAACAGAGGCAAATTACTACTTTGTTGGAAAAATCTCTGGAAGGAATGTTCTTCCAGAAGAAGAAATTATAGAAGAATTTTCTACATGAACTACCACTCAATGCTGAGATTCTATACTGCTAGTTTTCTATAATTTTAATCATCTGTGAAACTGTCTTGAGCATCATGATGGGTAGAATAATGAAACTTAGAATCCAAAAGAAAAAAATGAAAGAATTACTCCTCTCTTTAAGAAAAAATATTTTAAAGCTTGCAAGATGAAACACACAATTGGAAAAAATATAGAAAAATGTAATTTGCTAAACAGTGCTCCAAGGAAAGCCAATAGTTTCCCAAAGTTCTCATGTGATGGAATTAAAAGAAAAGATAATGGACTTCTCAAAGGACAAGGTTTGCAAACTGGAGTTTGAACTGGTAGCAAAGAATACTGGGAGAGATAAGGGCATTGCTCTGTCCCGAGAGAAACCTGCAAAGGCCTAGACATATGGACAAGCAGGAGTGGGAGTCAAGAAAAGACAGAGACCTGCAGATAAACTTGACCTCAAATCCCCATGTCACCTATGACAAACATAATCTACTGTCTCATCTTTAAAATGGAATGTTTTATCAGATGCCAGCCACTGTGATAGGCACATCACAAGTTTTATGTAGTTTGATTTTTCAAGGCAACTCTCAGAGTGGCTGGCATGTGATAAATGGTCCAACGTACAGTTCCCATTCTTTTGTGTGAAGACTAGCTTGATTCAAAAGAAGGCTCCATGTGAGTACTAAGTGACTGGATCCTGAAAGGACTTCATGAAATTCTGGATTCTCATTTTATGGGTGGGTTAATAGACTTGGTCACAAAGCAAGTCACTGCAGGGCTGGCCCATGTTCTCAGATCTGATTTCCTGGTGTGTTGGTCTCCCCACTGCCAATAGACTGATCAGTAAGAAACAACATAGCACCTTCAGGGCTGACCTGGGATTGTTCAGTTTCAGGCAGAATTTTAGCCCTCTCAAAAGTCCTCTTTGCCTCACGCACTCAGCCCTTTGTTCCCAGATCTTCAACCTTGGGTTGTCTCTGAATAGTCAGGGCCTGTGGATACCCTAAATTGCTCATGGAGGAGAATATAGTGAATAGGCTTTTTTTCTCTTGATGACTACCCCAAGATGTAGGGAACTCTTGAGAGTACCATTATATTAGAACAATCCATCACTTAAGCACTTTCATCTTTGGCTTCAGCCAAACTTTTTTTGCAATTATTTCCATTCCCAGACCATGTCACCTCTTAGAGCCATGCTAGGTCAGCTGACTCCCTACTGTGGGAAGGCAGACTACTACCAATGTGTCTAAATTTATCTTTTCCAGTCTCTTCTTCTGAGCCCAGATAGGACAAGGCTGGAGCTTCTTTGTCCTCCAAGTTACAGAAAGCCTGCAAAGTTTTTCAGCGTCAAAAACAGTTGTAATTTCTCGCCTCCTCCTACTTCCTTTCCTCCCTCCTCCAAGCAATCTCCGGTCCAGCCTTAGAGAGTAGCCAGCAGGCACTGCCACCAGCCGTCTCGCCATATGCCTCATTTCCTGACTGCCTGGCCTAGGATATCAATCTCTCTACCAGCTAAAATGTCTCTTATGTGACAGCTATAGTTCTGCTTTGCTCTCCTCCCTGTCCCTGCCCAGATAACCATACCTAGAAATTGCTGAAATAAGAGAGGTCTGCATTTTCATTTCCTCTTTTAAACTTCTAAAAGAGCAACCTGGGTTTCTGCTTTACAGAAAGCTTCAAAACTTAAAGTCTCTGAACTAGACAAGCACTCATTCAAACCTACCTCCTTGTTGTACAGATGGAGAAACTGAGGCTCAGGAAAGGACGTAACTTGCTCAGTACTCATAGTGATCAGAACTCTCAGAAGGAAAGTTAGAGTTTCTGGAATGTTAGAGTTTCTGGCTTACAAACCAGTGCTCCTCGGGTTTGGGATATATGCAACTTCTTTATATCCCATATTGGCATGTGGGAGGAAACCACAGTGTTCTATCCCTGCTCCCAGCACAGCGAGAAGACCTAAGTGCCATAGAGGGAAGCCAAATATATGACTAAGAGGGATCTTAGGTAAAGGCTATCCATGACATACTACCTCTTCAGGTCGCCACATTTAAGCTGCAGCCTGTACCTGGGGAATGAACATGTGGAGATGTTTTCTGACCAATCTAAAGGGTTGCACCATGTGCCAAGATTAAACATGGCACACACTAAGGGATGCACGAGGAAAGATAGTGACATGACAAGATTGACAAGGAAAGACCATCACAAAGAGCAGAGACATGAAAAGAAAGACAAGTCTATGTCAGAGCAGGAGGGAGAAGCAAGCATGGAAAGAATGAAAAGGAAATGTAGAGCAGTAAACAGAGATAAGGAAATAAGGAGATAGATGGCAAAAGGCAAGGGAGTGGGAAAGGTGTGACAGACGGAAAGACTGGAGGAGAGACCTAAAGAGATAGAGAAGTAAGAAAAGCGTATTCATCCAAAATATAGTTTCTTCCCAGGGAGGGAATGAGGATTGTTTTAAGAGACTGTGTAGTCCTGGGAGAGGCCACCAGATTAGGAATCATGTTCAGGTGGATGGGAATGTACATAAAAGCCTTTGGTAGAATGTCAAGTGCTGTGGAAATGTAGAGATTCAATGATTTCACTCTACTTGCCCCCAGAACCAGTAGATGATGTCAGGCTTTGCTGTTTCTAATCCCTTTTGGTGCACAGTGTTGGTCTGTATGCCCCATGCAAGGTCACTATCACAATCCCCTTCCCTTAGCTCTGGATCAGTGTGGGACATGACAGCCTGTCAGAGTGAGATAAATTCACCAAAGGTTGGTGGTATTTGATGTTTATTTGTTTGTAGTTTTTTCCGTGCCCCTACCCCATCCTCATTCATTCTACTTCATTCCTATAAGGAAGAAAGGTCAACTTTGGTTATAAATTGCAGGGATTTAGATAAACATCAGTCAAGGACTATTATTGAACACGAAGTCTCAGAAACGGCAGTTAGGAGAAGTTGCTTGGGAATAAGGGGTGAGCAAATTGCAAGGGTAGGTATTGCAA